TCCCCCAGAACCCCTGGGGATGACTCTGTAGATGGAAAACCCTAATCAGGAACTGCTCAAAAACTTGATTTATTTCAAGCTTATTTTCTAAAGCCATACTTTATTTATATAGCTAGTAACTTGAAACTTTGGTTCACACTTTTAAGTCTTGAGTAGGAATACTTTTGAAAGCTTCATTGATTTTGACAATATAACATTTTTTGTGTGTCATTCTGGGGCTTGAACTCAGGGACTGGGCACTGTTCCTTTTTTGCTCAATGCCAGTGCTCTACCACTTGAGCTACATCTCTACTTTTAGCTTTTTTAGTGATTAATTGGAAATAAGAGTCTCGTGGACTTTACTGTTCAGTCAGGCTTTGAACCATGATCCTCAGATCTCAGCCTCCTGAGTAGTTAGGATTAGAGGTGTGAGCCACCAGTGCCTGTCTGAATAAGTTATTTTCTAAAGTCAATTAAATGTATTATACTGTTCTCTTTAGTGCCAAAATCGTGGTTCATCTGCATCCAGCTCCTCCTAACAAAGAACCTGGCCCTTTTCAGAGTAGTAAGAATTCCTACATTAAACTCTCCTTCAAAGAACATGGCCAGATTGAGGTAAGTTTCTATCTGAATAAAATGGGACTAGAAATGTGTGTGTCTTTTTGTTTGTTAATATGGTACAATAAAAATCATAGGTTTCACCACTTTTTACAATGTAATCATTTAAAGTCTTAAGCCTTATCAGAGAGTAGAGGGTTTGTATTTTAGGTTGTAGGGAATACAGAAAACAGAAGGTAATGGTTAAAGGGAGGGGCAAATAGGCTGGCCTGCTATCAGGTTAGCTATTAGTAGGTAGTTTGGTTCAAAAACACAGCATAATGATGAACTGAAGTAGTATCTGAAAGTTCACCAGCCTTAAATCAGGCAGCCTTATCTTAATTAACTCCATACAAATCTAGTTGCATAAATACTGAGGCTTTAGTGTAATACTTTATATTCTGGGTATTACATCACTGTACAAATATTCTTTAGACATTAAGAGGTGTGTCTTTATTGAACATCTGTATCATCAATATTTACTGTGTATAGCACACATCGTGTGTTAGGCAGGTATAAGTGATTAGACAAAATCATTGTCACTGTGCTTGAAAAATTGATTTTTGCTTGGTGCTGGTGGCTCACAGCTATATAATCTGAGCTACTTAAGATGCTGAGATCTAAGGATTGTGGGTTGAAGACAGCCAGTGCAGAAAAGTCTGTGAGACTGCTATCTTCAATTAATGAGCAAAAAACTGGAAGTAGAGCTGTGGCTTAAATGGCAGAGCACTGTGCTAGAGTAACAGGGATAGTGTTTGAGTTCAAGCCCCATTATTGGTACCAAAAAAAAAAAATTGACTTATTTTTCCTACGTGTGTTTACTCCCTGTTTTGGCTTCATGTTTTAACTAAACAAATTATTCTGTGCTCCCTTCATGGAAAATGGCTATATGTGCCTCATGTTTTAACTAAACAAATTATTTTCTGCTTCCTGTATGGAAAAAAATTTTTTTTCTGGCTCAGTGTTTGCTTCAGTATGGATGGGAAACAGTCTCTCTCTATGTACAGGATTGTTTAAAATAAGTCTATTTATTTCATTGTCACTCATGTCTTTGTTGAGAATAGCCCACTTTATGTAGAAGGTCAGTTCCTTTTTTTTTTGCTTTGTTCTTTCTGAAGTTGGTCCAAGAACACAACTTCCTTTGACTTTCTTTGATGTTTCTGAGAGTCCTAAGTTTTTTTGCAAATGACTGAGCAGACTTTTATGCTAAAGAAATGTCAATTGATAATTTGTTGGAGGATGCCACAGCCTGACTGCCTCACTAAAGCGTGTGTGTGTGTGTGTGTGTGTGTGTGTGTGTGTGTGTGTGTGTGTGTGTGTGTGTGACAGTTTTACAGACGTTTATCAGAGGAAATGACCCAGAGAAGATGGGAAAATATGCTAGTTCCCCAGTCATTACAAACAAACAGAGGACCCCAGGTATGTCATAGCTAATCTGCTCCTTTCATCTCTTAAATTTCACTAAGAAAATCATTCTGTAATTATAGAACTTGCCAAAAACAAAACAGTAATATTGTATTACTTTTCATAGCACTTAGTCTGGCCAGCAACCATAGACAGCATTCAGATGTAAGAAAATAGCTTGGTTAATAACTATCAAGTACTAAAATTTTAGGTACAACAAATTTTTTTGTACATCTGACACTGTTAAATACATATTGGCTTGCCAAAGAACACAAATGAATAGGAATTTAATTTATGTCTAACATATGGAGTAAACATGCCATTTATTATGTATTCATTCAGTTTTTCTCTGCTGATTTGAAGATCTTTATGTGTAGCCAGAAGCAGACAGATGTTTTGAAAGGAAACTAGATGTAGTTACTTGTATAATTGTTTCTTTGATTCTCTGTAGGTCTTTTCCCGCCATTAAAAACATAGCGTAGTTAACAAAATACTTTGTTTCCTTCCCATTTTGTGTGTTTCATGTTCTACCTTATTTTTCCCCTTAGCCAGGAAGAGTAAGAGCTGTGGGAATTGTAGGCATTGAAAGGAAACTGGAAGAAAAAAGAAAAGAAACAGACAAAAATATTTCTGAGGTAATTTTTTTCTTTTTAGTTTAACTCAGAGTTTATTGAATGGTATCAAAGTAATTTAACAGATCAGTAACTTGAAATAAGAGAGTCACTCACCAGTCACTGAACCAATCTAAGACTGAGGTAACTCTTAAACTAGTTCTGGTTGGCCATCTTCTTCATATTTATTCTTGGCTTGGCTACAGTTGTGACTAATTCTGTTATTTCTGTAATTTGGAGTATATTTTATTTGCCTCAAGCTCCACAGTCTCCTCCTTAGAGATCTACCTTAGATGGACATCATTTAACTAAAACATATTTTAAAAATTTATTTGTAGCCAGGCACTGGTAGCTCATACCTATAATCCTAGCTACTCAGGAGGCTAAGACCTAAGGATGGCAGTTCAAAGATATTTGGGGCAGGAAAGTCCATGAGACTTTTTTTTTGGATCTGGTTGTGGGGCCTGAACTCTGGGCCTGGGCGCTGTCCCTCAGCTCTTTAGCTCAAGGCTAGCACTCTACCACTTGAGCCACAGCACCACTTTCGGCCTTTTTCTTTTTGCTTATGTGGTACTGAGGAATCGAACCCAGGGCCTCATATATGCAAGGAAAGCACTCTACCACTGAGCCACCTTCCCAGCCCTCCATGAGACTCTTATCTCCACTTAGCCTCCAGGAAACTTGGAGTGGTACTATGGCTCAAAGTGGTAGAGCACTAGCCTTGAGCACAAAGAGGCTCGGGGACAGCACCTAGGTCCTGAGTTCAAGCTCCATGACGAACAAAAAAAATTATTTGTAGAAAGTTAAAAAAACACAATTTGTTTTCTGTTAGAAAATAACATAAGGATTGAAGGCATGGCTCAGGTGGTAGAATGCCTGCCAATGAGTGTAAAATATCAGATACTAAGAGTCCCTGTCTTGGACAAAAAACAAAAAAAAAAGTAGTTATCCTAGAATGCCATGTAGTTTTAATGATGTAGTTGATTAGAAGATACTTTTAGTGAACTCTTAAGTTTTCTATATAATTATTTTGGAAATTGAATTAATTTAGTTGAAATAAAAATGTTATCTGTGGCTACTGTCTCTGGGCAGCTACCACACAGTTTTATACTTAGGATGACTTGGGGACTAGACATATACCATAAGATTGGCTCAAACCAGCCTGTTGCTTCTACTCAGAGTCAACCTGAAACAAATACGTTTCTAAACTTCATTATAAATGAGGAATTGGAGTTAATTCTACTTAAGAAAGAACTCTAGTTAGAAAAACCAGGCTCATGCTTATAAAATCGTAGCTACTCAAGGGGCTGAAATATGAGGATGGTGGTTTGAAGCTAGCAGAAAAGTCTGTGAAACTCCTTATTTCCAACTAATCAAAAATGCCAAACAGGAGGTAAAGGTTGAGAGAAAGCAAACAAAGCTGAGCAAAAGTGTGAGGTCATGAATATAAGCCTCAGTACTAGAACAACAAGAAGAAAGCCAGTTATGATTAGATTCTACAATTAGTTAATACACCTAAACATGCCATTGTTGCATTAGTCGGCTTTGTATTACAATTTCTGTAACAGTATGCCTGAGAGGATCAATTTATAAACAGGTTTATTTTAGTTCATAGTTTTAGAGGTTTCGGTCCATGAATTGTTGGATCTATTTCTTTGATGCTAGAAGACTAGCATTTAAAATAGGTGTGCTATATCTGTGCAGTACACATTCAGTCACATCTCTCATGTTGTCTGTTTTCAGATTAGGTATGTTTGGGCCACCAGTCCTTAATCTCTCCTCCAGTCACTTTGGAATCTGAAACTTATTCTCTAGCAGATTCTTTAGGAAGGTCTCATGAGAATAATATTCTGTGTATCTGGCAGATATCTGTGTTTGTGATTTCAGAATTTTTAAAATTTCAAGGATGCTTTTATGTATTACTATTCTCAAGACCTTCTTCTGGGACTGTTTATTAGTTCTATGGTACAGCTTTCCTGCCTGTCTTTACTATTTGCAGTTTTTCTTTCCAATGCCTTTTACCTCTTAGTTTCTTTCTTTTCTTTAGAAAAGAAAGATGATATTTAGTGCAGGCTTTATTTTCAAAGCAATTTTTCTTTTAATCCTATCCTGAGTCTTATTACCTGCTTTCTGATTTAGATTGTCCACTCATAGCTTCCACCACCTTAACATCCTGTAGCACAAGTTGATCTCCTCCATAACATGTCTATCTGGCATGTTTTCAGTGTACAGCATTATTCTGTTCTGCATTGTCTTTATTCTTACTATAACTGGGTGAGGTTGGACTTTTGACCTTTTGCAGTGGTTCATTTTCACATGGAATTAGTAGCTCTAAACTTTTAGAGTGTGACATGAAGTTTAGGGCAGCTTCTTTTCTTTTTGTTTTTTGAAGTATAATTTTATTGTTATTATTAAGATGTTGTACAGAGGGTTTACTGTTTCATAAGCCAGGTAATTAGTACATTTCTTTTTGGATAGTGTCACCCCTTCCTTTGCTTTTCCCCAGTTTCCTTCTCCTATTCCTGCCCATAAATTGCATAGTTCATTTCTACATAGTGTCTACTGAGTCCCAGTCCACCCACTCCTTAGCTGTTGCCATGCATGGTGAGAAATTTTGCTGTTTCCTCCACTTGTTTCTATCTCGTTTTTACGTGGGCCTTTTTCCTTCCTATTAGTACTGCTTTGTTCAATTCTGATCCTGCTTTGGGAAATTGCTCCCCTGTCCTAGAAGAGAAGCCAATGGACCAGTTTCAGGAATTCATAGGCTGCTTCATCATCTTCAATCTCCATTGGGGATTCCTTGGCCTCACCACCTTGAAGTGGGTGAAACCCTCTCAATTCCAGGCGCTGCCCTCCCACTGGCCTTCCTCACTCTCCTGTGATTACCTGTTGTCTTTTTAGGGTTCTCATGCCCAGATCTGACAGTTGAAATGCTGTGTCAAGACTAATTTTTCCGGGCTGGGAAGGTGGCTCAGTGGTGGAGTGCTTGTCTTGCATGCATGAGGCCCTGGGTTCGATTCCTCAGCACCACATAAGCAAAAAGAAAAAAGCCACAAGTGGCATTGTGGTTTGAGTGGTAGAGCGCTAGCCTTGAGCTGAAGAGCTGAGGGACAGCGCCCAGGCCCAGAGTTCAGGCCCCACGACTGGACCCCCCCCCAAA